ACAGTTCCCTTTATTGAGGAATGGGTAAGTTGCCTCACATGGCTAGCTCTCTGTCTCTTATCCTCTAATCATGCACCTTAGAGGGGCTTCTAGACTTAGTTGTGCACCAAGGCTCCGTTTTTCATCTTGCTAACCTTGTTTCACAATCTTGATATTAGATCATTTCAGTGATCTATGTAGGGCTGCCTTTCAAGATGGTTTGGGAACAAAAATTCAAAACTAATTGGTCTTGCATTGAAATGATACAACATGAACTGTTCTTCTTTGGTATGTTCATCATATAAAATTTAGGAAATATTTTCTGTAACTCCTTTCGGCCTGCTGAATATGTAATACTGGCTATGTAAAAATCAATGCTTGGAAACTGAATATTACTACATAATACTTATTCCCCAACCTAATGTCATTCAGAAGCCTGGATTATGATTCTCATTATTTATAACTAGCATGATAGGCAATTACAATTACTGTCCCAAAATTGGGAATCACTTTTATACTGAATGGAACATGCTACTGTTAATTAGAAAACATCCAGGCAAAACATATTTTTATCCATGTCATAGTTTCCAAACCATTTCCAAAAAGTGCCAGCTCTACTCTTCATATTTTTTAAAAGGTAGGCCTAAGTTCTCCTTCCCGAAAATGAAAATAAAAAATCTTACTATGTCATTTGAAAATATATAGCTGCTTGTTTCAGAGTCAAGGAGGATTCCTGTCACTCTAAATCTTGCTGTCTCTATAGCATGCTTTTGCCATGCATCTCAAGTGGGACTCTGTTGTGCCATTGTTCCTTCAGCTGTACCACACAATGCTGAAAGAACAACATTGTTGCATTCCCCTGGCTGAAATTCAGATATCACCAACAGCAGGAAAAGCCACTACCAACTGCCACACTATGCCAGAGCTATTCGTATTGTCTGGGCACTCTATTCAATATCTTTTTTAATACCCTCCCCCACTTCCCCAACCTATTGACCTAATGAACACGAAGATGGCCAGAAACGGTTTACATATTTTGACTGCAATCTAATGTGAGAAGCCATGTAAATCTGTGGAGTGTTCTTGTAAATATCAACAAACTTTTCAACTGTTTTATTAGTTGATTTGTTGACCACAAGATGGCACCAAAACATTGGTGTTTGCGTCACTTTACTGCCATCTAGTGATCACTTGTGCAGCTGCTGGGTAAAGTGCTAAAAGTTATCAAAGGAGTTTTTTTCCTATTTTTCATACCGACCCCTAGTATTTTTTTAAGTATTACTTTTTATTGCTGTAGCTGTATTTGTACATAAAATTACTATTAAAAGAAATCAAACCATCTCTTCCTTTGTGGTACACAGTCTGCTTGGAATGTCCTGTGCCAAGATATCCACTCTGAAACAACTAAAGTCATCTTTGGACAGCCTTGGTAGCTGGCTGAAGATGAGACAGAGGCAATGTTGTGAGGGCACATCCTTTGGCAGTATGAGAAGCAACTCCACACCAGGACAAAGAGGCTGAATGCCAGGATAAAAAAAAATTAAATATTGTGTATATGTATGTGTATGTTGTGTTTGTGTATATACACATACAAATTACTTAAATTATAAATTGTAATTCACACATACATATATTTAAATTATAATACACAAAGACACACACACAGATATACATACACACTTGACTTTTATATAGAAGTTTATGAAGAAAGATAAGCTTAAAAGAACTGATTGACTTAGTCACCCACCGAGTTTCTCCAAAGTCCAATATTTCAACCATTACATTGTAAAGTATTGCTTTTCTCTATATATTTATGTTAATTGTGGGGATTTCTGCATTGTGCGTTTATCATCTTGTTTTTTAAAAGTTCTGTTTTTTGTTTCAAGTTGAAAGGGAGTCTCATAAATATTTTAAATAAATTCTCCACAAATGTGTGATTTAGTATTAATCGTTGATTTTATTACTATCACCAACTTTAAAATTCATGGAGAATAAAGCAATTATTTTCATTACTCCTAATGCCTTATGCTATTTCCAATATCAGAAATTTACCTGTAATTAATTATTGAGAAAACATGTATGTATCCACATTATCCTACATCTTGTGTACTGGCTTTATTGGACCACTTTGAAAAAAATACTATACAAGGTAAGCCTTTATCGTGGTCCAAGAGAAGCAGCAAATTATGCAGGTTTTTGTATTATATAGCAGGTACAATTAGAATATAATAAAATAAAGGGAAACTGATATACAAGATTCAGTCTGCTTCTAATTTCCAATTAGTTAATTTTGAGCTATTGTGTATTAGAAGAATAAAGATATAACATGCACCTGGGCCCCTGGGATTGTGCAAACAAGGACATGCAACATTTGTTCTGAAGCTAATACAGACAGACCTTAAAATTGTTACTATTAATCTTTGGAGTTGGACAAAACATACATCTTTCAAAAGCATATATTTTATATATTTAGCTGAAGGAGGCCTCATTTCATCTCAACTTTTTAGAAGTTTTTGCCATTTGAGTAGAATGCATAACTTTTGTACAGCCATATTTTGGGAAAATAAGGCACAAGGGTGCTATGGCCTGGATGACTGCTGCCCTCTATAGGTTTTACTGCATAGACTGCAACAATGAAAATCTAAAATAATACAAAAAGCAGAACTCTGCCTATGCATGCACATATACTATAGATGTTTTGAAAGACTGAATAACAAATACCAAAAATGTTATGGATGGAAGCGGAATGCTAAACACATAGTAGAGAGAAGCATTCAGTTACCTAAATTTGTTCCTAAATATGTATACAGGTTGTCCTTGACTTACAACCACAATTGAGACCAGAATTTCCATTGCTAAGCAAAGCAGTTGTTAAGTAAGTTGTACCCAACTTTATGACCTGTTGGACAGAGAGGAATCTTACACAATAGATATCATACTCCCCATCCAAAACATCACCATTGCATAAAACATGGGGTGGGCAAATATGTCCATCCAGGAAAAAAATAAATGAAAAATTAATACTAGTATAACATACTAGTTACTGATTTTTTTCTATAGATTTTTAAAATAACATCTTATATTAGTATTAGGACATTGGTGGAGCCATTACAGTAAAAATAATCAAAAACCTTACATATACAGTAATCCTTGTGGAATTCAGAGGAAGATACACAAATTTACTTCACACTTCAACCAGAATCTCTTAACTGAAATATCAGCTAGTAGGGTGAATTCGGAACTTTCACGGGTATATGAACCTCATTTCAGAGGTGTCAGTCCTCTGTCAATACTGCTATTGAAAAAGAACAAATTGTGGGGACGAAAGAACTAGAAGCCCTGAGTGTGGTCTGTGTCAGCCAAGACAAAATAGGCATAAGACAAAGCCCAGCCATCAGAAAAGGAGATACATCAGAATTAGGTGGCCATTTAGAGCTGGACAGACCTCTGATTGTATTATTCCCATTCCCATGTCCATTGTAGATGGGTTTTATGGCAAGACTTGGGCCAGGGAAACAAAACACATCATTTTAACAATGGAACTAAACATGATTTCAAGCTGCTTCAGGTTACCAGGCTGACAGGTTAGCAAAGTATTTTTGGATAGCAATCCGTGGAACATGAGGACAAGTCCATAGAGTCTACACTTTTAGTAGGGAAACGTAGATGGAATATTTTTAAGTGTGTCATGGTTAGGAGGGAGTAGGTGCATTATTTACCCCATCCTACAAAATCAAGTAAAAAATTCTTGGGTTTATCTGAATATTTTGGTTTGGTAATTTCTTATGCCAAAACGTATAATTTTTGAAATTAAAATTATAACTAACCATAAGCATAAATAGCAATTCAAGGCTCTCTTCATAGAATTCCAAAAAAATTCAACCTCTTACTGGTCTCTTCTGGGGCTTTTTATAAAACAAAATATTTCTCTGCCTTTGCAAGCAACAAAAAAAATTCTTCAGAGCAGCTGAAAGGCTTGTCTACATTCCCTCAACCTTGAGGTCATGAGGCATGGCAAGAATGCTGCAGGGGCAGTAGATCTTGTGGCTCATCAACCCCACCCATCTCACTGTATACTTTGGCACACCCTCTTCCAAAAAAGAGAACTTTCTAATTTGGGAAGCACCAACCTGGGTGGTTGATAGAGAGGCAGGAGGGAGATACCTTGCCCTTCCCCAGCTCCCAACTGGGGCCTTGTGGACTTGTAGAGTAGAACCAAATAATCTAGTCCCTAGGTGCTGTTCTTAATTAAAAGATTAAGTTTATAATGTTTCTGGAATTTTATCATACATGTATCTTGCGTTTTCAGAATATTTACCTATCTATCTATCTATCTGTCTGTCTGTCTGTCTGTCTGTCTGTCTGTCTGTCTGTCTGTCTGTCCATCTGTCCGTCCATCCATCCATCCATCCATCCATCCATCCATCCATCCATCCATCCATCCATTCCTCCATCCTAAATCCAAAGAAATTTTCTACACTATCCTAATAAAGTGAGGACAGTTTAGAACTATAATTGTTTAGACTTAACATTGGCAGCCAGTCTTTATTTATGTATCCATATAGCCACTATCAGTTAGATTTCTATTAAGTTTGCATAAATAAATCATACATATACATATATTTATACAGTGAAATTATACAGTGAAAATAGATTCTTCCGTGCCTCTATTATACCTAAAAGACTAATATTGCAATATTGGGAAGATAAATGTATAGCCCCATTCACTCAATGGATTGAAGACTTGCTATCTATGAGAAGACTGCCTACAGATATAGACTTCGTATAGACAAACATAAGGAAATGAGACTGATTTATACAAAGTACAGAATGTTAAAAAAGCATGGTAGTCATATAAGTGTATTAGAATCACACACACCCTTTATATTATTTGCATTAGATAATTATATAATTGTAACTGTATATTCTAATGTTCTAATAACATTAAAATCTTTTTTCTATCTTGTATCTTATTTCACTTATTTTTAAATACGAGAATGTATTTTTAATTTCTTTTTGTGTTTGTTCTTTTTCCATTGTTATTTTAAAAGTAATATTTTTTAAAAATAAATTAGCAGATGTGATCATAATTATCCAGACCCTAGCCAAACAGTATATTCTACTAGCATTTCTGCATGTTTATTATGTTAAATAAAACACATACATATGCTGTACAAAATGAAATAGCCTGTATTCCTGAAGAATAATCGTGTTACTATCCATCCCACCAGCGTCCCAATAACCTCCAACATACCAAAACATAGAACTATAGCTTCAGAAACTTCTATTGAGTGTCAAGAGATGAAAATAAATGTGTACTGACATTTCAGTTAAGACTTGCAAGACAAACCCAAAATTAAAACTGAAATAACACAAAATAGTTAACAGCACTTTAACAGCAATAGCCATATACAAATTAAACCTAAATCATTTCAAGTTTGTTTAAAACAAAAGGTGATACAACGTTGCATTCATACAATCTGTAATATTGCAGTACTCTAGATTCTTATAAGGTATCCAATCATTTCCATTTTGTGCAGTTGAATAGAGAAATTTGATTTAGAACTTAAGTGTTTTTGTCCCATTGCTGGGAATGTTTCAGTCAATAGCATCTTCAAATTGGCCGTCCTCTGTCACAGCTTTTAAGTGAATCAAAGTCAACGGTGCTACATGGTGTAAACTTGGGTCATACAGAGGTTCTTCTTGAACTGAATAGGATGCCTGTCCATTGCCATCCCAGAAACTTCCACAATAGATAATATCGTCTACATCTAAAGAGGCAATTTGGGAACAATGTAAAAATGCACTATATATATTGTTGTACAATGCTGAAGTTAATATATATGTAGATTGCAAAATTACTCAAGCTAAGGTTTTATTAACTTATGAAGAAATGCTTTATTATAAATATTACTATGTTCATTTATACTCAGCCCTTCCACCAAGGAGCTTAAGCTAATTAAGCTGGGAACATGCTATTTTCTCTGTTAAAAGAAAGAGTAAACAAAATGTGTTATTTGACCAATATGATTAGAAAGCTCAGTTAACACACAGAAGTAAATATTACGGCAGCTATAAACAAAACCTATCATTCATTCAATAATCATCTTCATTCAGTTAAACCAGGAACAGAAGTCATAAAATTTTCATGTTACAGAAAAATGTAACTAAATTAACTTTACAAAAAATTGTTTTTAATTTCAATATATGGTAAACACTACACATGCTGTATTTTTCAGAATATAAGACATACCTTTTTCCTCTCAAAAAAGAGGGTGAAAATTTGGATGCGTCTTATACACCAAGTGTAGCCCCACCCCACCACACCCCACCAAAGGCCAAAAACGTGAGGCATGGAGGCAGCATGGTCTGTGGCAATCCCTGCAGCCTGGAACAGCTGATTGAGGCAGTCTGATCCACTTGCCAATCAGCTGCGCTGAATCAGGCTGCAATAAGTGCTGAAGCTGACATGGCTGGTCAGAGTTTGCAGCAGCAATCACATTTAGAAAGCACAGTAACTGATTCAGCAGGATTCAAAATAACAATAATAATATACAATACATTACCAAAAGCAGGTTTTCCAAGGTAGTAGTAAATACAAGCAAAACACAAAGCAATTTCACTTTCAGTTCTAGGTTAAGCCAGGCTCCTTCCTATCTCCTAGTTGCTCACACAGCAAATTTCTGAGTCCAAATGGCCCTCATTGACAGACTTAGTTGCTATGCCTATTCATTAGCTGACCTTGTTACCAGGTGTCAGCTGAATATCATGGATGCTGGTAGGCAGGGGCAGATTTTTTTTTCTTATTTTCCTCCCCAAAAACTAAGGTGCGTCTTATACTCCGGAACGTCTTATACTCCGAAAAATACAGTAATTTATAGGCCATATTTTATGAAGTGCTACTAATTGACACACTGTGAAATCTTGCAATAGTCAATAACTTGTTTCCTCCAATTCATACTTGCTGCCAAAAAACTTCAGCAAGTTCTCGTAAGAAAAAAAGGATCTATGTTTGCTAGCATAAGACTCAGAAAAATAATGCTAGAGACAAAAAAGAAAAAATGTGCATTCCTTAAATGGTAATATGCAACTCTTCTCCACATCACATCATTAATTTAATATTTTACAGAAATGAAGAAAAACGGCAATTAAAAGAAGAAAAATCTTTACTATTTAGAAAAAATATGTATTTCATCCTTGTTACATTACCTTTAGGCAAATCCTTCTGATAATTACATAAAATTCAGATTAAATTTCCGACCTCTACAAATTATTGAAAACACAGGGTTGTTCTTTAAAACATTAAGAAATAAGATAATTCAAAAATAATAAAAATAAAAGTATTTGAAACAGTTTATTCTTTTGCTAATTGAGCCAAAGGATAAAAATGGCACTACACGTAATCCTTGTTTAACAACCACTTGTTCATTGACCATTCAAAGTAAATGATGGTGCTAAACAAGTGGTACTAACAACAGATCATCAAAGATTCAGCCATTTCACCACTCCCAGGGTCATATGATCACAATCTAAGTGTTTGACAACTTGTTTGAAATAAATAGATGCATTATGTCTATCGGTGTGTATTGTTTAAAATGGCTCCCTCTGATCACACAATCAAGGGCTTTTCCCAAGAGCATTGGTAAGCTGGAAGATGGCAGCAAGTGACAGTCATGTATGTCAATAAGCAAAGAAAAATGGTTGAAAATACAATTTTATTGCAGGTGAACTCTTCAGCTTACTTTTTCTATTTAATATATGATTTTTTAAAATTACTGAATAATCCAGTAGAACAGCATCCCGTGAATCCCAGAGGACCTTTCTTTTTTTAATGGCAGTTGCATTTTTTATGTTTTTGAGTCAACCAAACAAATAGGTAGCCCTATAAACTTGAATAAATGCATATATCTCATATCTACGGAAAATAAATATGTAACAGGCATGTTTAAAATAATACACAGTATTATTATTGTTATTATATTTTTTATATTGTTGGCTTTTTGTATTGCAAATTTTTGAATTATATATATAGACTAGCCTTTCTACTTAGGAGTTTCTATTATTTAATCCCAGGCCAGAGTATAGTTTTAAGAATTAATATATTTATATTCTAATAGTACAGCTTCCACCAAATTAACAATAACGGAAGTGCTTATTCTCTCCTATCTTCTCTCTTAACAAGCTCTCGGGTAGTCTACTGCACCTAAGAATTGTCTCTACTATAACATGACAATTATTTAGAACCAGAAAGAAGATAACCTGGATATCTTGCAGGGAGCCACACTTACATACAATTAGATTTCTTTAATAGATATAACTCTATGCACATTTAACCTGAATATATATAAAAAAGGTAAAGTTTCCCCTATCAACCATATCTGACTCTAGGGAGCAGTGCTCATCTCTGACACACAGCCAAAGAATCGGCTTGAATAATGCTATAATCCTTATTTATATCAGAGATCAGTAACATGCTAGTAACTATTTAAAATTTAGATAGTCTAGAACCACACTCCTGAAACATATGACAGATACAACTGTTTTCTACATTTTCTCATACGAAGTACCAAGAAATTCATGTATCAGTGCTTTAATTTTTCAAGTGAGGAGTCTGACAAATATATGATGTATTTTTCCCAGTCATTAAGTTTCCTAACATTTGAAAAAAATCATAAATAAGCATTCCCTTACCATAAGAGTTTTTATTGTTTTCAGAGTCTTCCATCTCCTTATCCCAGTCCTCTTCTTCATATTGGGAAACTGTTGTCATTTCAGGAAAAACAGTTTGGGTAGCTACATCGTAATCTTCATCATCTGATTTCCAGTCTTCATTTTCTGATTTCCAGTCTTCAAAATCATCCGAGTCCTCAAGATTATTTATTTGTGCTTCCACTTTTTCTGTTAGCTCTACAAATAAAGTAGCCAGTATTTAAAGTGGGGGGGGGAACAATTGTAAGGATGATCTTATATACCGGTATTAGGGGGGGCAGAGATAAAATACAATCAATGTTAGGATGACTCCATGCAATTTATTTAATATGATAGTTGCATTTATGGGTTTTGACAAGACAACAACCTCCTCCATTTATTGCCCATTTCACCAACAAACATCAGGAGAAAGGATGGCAGTTATGGAGCCTGAATTAACCACATGAACTGCAAAGCACATACAACGAATACATTTTGCATTACCCTCAAGATTTCCTGGATCAGTTTCAGGAAAACTTGCTAACAATTCCAAACCCAGAAAAGGCCCAAGCCATGTATAAACATCTTAGAGATGTTATCTTTCAGCCACTATTAATTAATGCTAATGCAACATGCTAAGGGAACATTTGCCTGTACCACTCAGAAACCCAGGTATGATATACTATATGATAATGCAGGTTTAGTAACAGTTTTTAAAACCTACCAAGTGAGCAATTTCGCATGTTAATCAATTAGCTGCTCAGAAAAAGCTTTAGAAAAAATTAACTGAAAGGAAAAAAAAACAAGCCTTTGCCCAACAAATGTGATTTTTTTTCAGGCTGTGGAAAATAATACTTCCCTATTTTGGAACCTAATTGCTTACTTGTTATATAAGGGGAACCAATATTCAAAGGCTAGGATTTCAGATGCTAGATCAAAAGAGAAAGGCATTTTCTCTTCTAGATACCACATATTTCTTCACTCCACCTCTACCACTGTTTTTCCATTCAGAGATTCTTAAACAAATTGACCAATTATAAAGCAGGAAAGTGCCCAACAGTGATCTAATATCACCTAAGCTGCTAAAGGGAATTGCTGCTTTATAGGTCCGTCTTGATGTCCCTTTTTAAACACATAAATAAAAAACTTCAAACATTTGATGACTGAAGTTCTGTAACCATTCTCCTTCTCTAAATTGACAAAAATAGAAATCCTTCACAGTTAGCCTACAAAAAGAGCTTAAAACACATGCTCATTTCCTCGTTATGAGTTTTTGGATTATGAGTATATATCAAGATAAATTTCTAGCAGAACTTAAGGAAGGTGTGCCAATTTACAATTTCTAACAGAAAAATATAAATGTGAGCAAAGTCACCCTTTATACATAGTCTTTATTTAAAACAATCCTTCAGTTTTATTTCAAGGAACAGATTCTGATGAAAAATGTCCCATTCATTGACAAGTGGCCATTCACTCTAATAATGATACAGTATAAACACACCATCACCAAGTCAGATGAGAATAGAGCTGGCTAGCTTACTGCAGACATTCCAATCCACTGAGGCACAAAATAGGGATGCATTCTAGCACCCTGTGGTTCAATATTTATGTGGACTTCAGAGCTAGTTGGAGCTAGTTGCTCCAACTATCCTAAATTCCATCTAAATTCAGTGACAGACATTTAATAATGCCGCTATATGCCAATGAACCAACAATTCTTTTGTTTCTTAGATAGCCCTTAAGAGAAGCTTAGGGCTTTAGTAAAATAATAACAGCAGAATATAAAATAAAGAAATATTGTAAAAAGAGAGTTCTTATAAGCAACTATTTCTAAAACCAAGATTTAGTCTTCCTGGGAAAGAAAATCCTTTCAGATATTTATGGCAAATAGGAAATAATAAAAATGAACATGTTCCAGATTTTAAATAGATTGGCATAATTTTTTAAGCTTCCAGAAGTTGAAGGGAATAAATTAGATTCATTGCTGCCAAAGCTAACAATAGTGCCAAGGCAATTCTGGGCTTTTTCCATTCTAAAGAGAGTAGTTCAGTAATTGCTACCATCAAGATTTTAAAAGCTAAAAGTTATTTCATAACTTGTCTAGTTCACAGGTATGTGCCTACAATGATCAAGTGCCTTCAAGTACTATCTAATCCACAATAGTGATGATATCTGGATTTACTGATTAATACGGGCAGAACAATTAAGAGAACCACATGATATATGTTTATATCTGAGGTGAACTATATTCTTGTTTTCTTTTTCTATTCATCCTAATATTGAAGCAGAGACATTGTGAATATTTTTCCTGTTCTATTTTTATTTGCTGTGTTCTATTCTATTTCAGTTTATCTTATTTAAGATTTCTTTTTAATTCCATTTTTTAAAATCTTTTGTGACTAATTCACTGCTTCCATTTTATGTGTGGCTATTTCTTCTGTGCTTCATCTTGCCAGTAAAAGGCTTAAATTAAGAACAAAATTTAGAAAAACCAACAATAAGCCTAAATTGGTAAAATAAACCATAATAATGCCAGATTGCATTTCACATGGGAGCCTAGACATGCGTAAAAAGGCTGCCAGCAAATCAGTCACACAATGCAAACCATCTCTCACCAACTTGTCAGTAATTAATAGCAATAGCATTTAGACTTATATACAGCTTCATAATGCTTTATAGCCCTAAGCGGTTTACAGAATGAACACATTGTCCCCAACAATCTAGGTCTTCATTTTCCTCGTGCAACACAATACAACAGCTGAACAAGGCCTATGATTTAGTCCAATATGCAAATCTACTCATGTTTACACTACTCATGTAGTGTATTTATTCTACAACATAGCTACTGTTTCCTCTTCTAGAAATGCAGTTACTTTTTTCTAAGTACCTTTCCAAGGTTTCCAAATGAATGCCTTTGCCTTCTTTACTTCAACTTCCTCGTGTTCAGCAATGGAGGAGCCATTAACTTCAATCTGCAAGGCAGAAATGCTTATTTTAATAAAAATAAATAAATGATTTCTATCTCCTATTGTTTTTATATAAATGCTCCCGAAATTACTGGATAACAAATATAACTCTTAAAAGTTGGATTAAATCTGTGTTTTTGAGAAAGGTTGGCCTTATGTTGTTAAAATATGGAATTGTAAATGTATTTTAATGTTGCCTTCATAGTGAGAATATAAAACTTTAACTTGTTAGTTAACAATGACAAACTATCTTCTTGAAAAACAAATCTTGTGAAGCTTGTAAGACCAATCTTTCTATTTGTCATAAAGAACCAGGGACAATTGCCATAAGAATACTTTAATATTCTGTTTCCTCAGTTCAGAATAGCAAATAATGTAATCATGAATTCTGAAACGAAAATTCTGCTTTTAATATATAATGTATGCTTTCCTAACCTGGATAAATAATATTGGGTAAAAGTGTGTGTGTGGGGGGGGGGTTGGGTAATGCCGACAAAACCATTATACCAGGGGTGTCAAACTCAATTTCATTGAGGGCTACATCAGGGTTGTCTTTTACCTCGGGGGGGGGAGGTGCATGGACGGAGTGGGCATGGCCAGCTGACGTCACTCGTGTTAGGGCCATCTGTGGCAGCCTGAGTGCTCTGTAAGTGAAAATGGGGTCCTGAGCTCCTTTTTTGGCTGTGACTGCCTCCTGCAGTCCTCTGCTAGCTCTGTTTTCACTGGCAGAGGCACCATGGGCCAGTCCTTCGTTGTTTCCAGGGAGGCCCGCAGGCCAGATCTAAGTATCCCATGGGCCGAATCAATCCCCCGGGCCTTGAGTTTGACATCCCTGCACAACACAATCACAACAGAGATGTTTAAATACTCTCTGATAAGTAATTTTGGATAATGAAGGAAATGGCTATGAAGCACTGATCCAAAGTAAGAAAAAAAGAAAAACAAACACTTCTCTACCCAGATAGTTTGAACCTGACCCAGTGACAATACTGTCTAATTTTTAGGAATAACACTTAGAAATTCATGATTAAAATGTAAATATTTTTTCAAGGAATAAAAAAATCTACAGAAAATAGATGATTTCTCCAGACCAGGCAACTTTTTGGATTGCCTGGCATGTTTTAGAATTTTAAAAGGGTATTATGTCCATCTATAAAATGCCGGCAATTGATGGATTGTCTCTTCACAAAATGGTTGTCGCGTGCCTATAGCTATTCACAAAACCTATATGTATCAGAAGAAAAACTGAGATTTCTCTGTTATATTATAGCCAAAGGATGCTCTCTATGAATTCAGAGTAGCTCTTTCTCTTTTTTTTTCTAGATAGGACAGCATTGAGCTACACCATGCTGACTTTCTAAAAGTGCTCATGGGGCTGATTCACGGTCCATAAGCAATCATGTAAACAAATCTGATTTGGAAATTAAGGCTTTACTCTGCCATATTGGTATCTCCCATGTATTTATTTATTTATTTTTTAAAGTTAAGAAAAGAGAGCATGGCTAAAGGAGGCACCATTTCCTACTATTCCCCAAAATATGAATGCCCATATAAAGGAATCATGTCTAATTCAAAACAGTGACTACTTGTTGGCTATAGCTCTCCAAAATCCAATCTCCTAAAACCTAAAACATTAATGTGTTAAGAATCATGATAAGACCAGAATGTTTATCTCTGAAAGTACTAGCACATTAGAGTGTTTATATACACAATCTAAAACATTAAACAGAAGGCATAGATTTAAAAAATATTTTGTTAAATATAAGACAGCTAACCTGTAGAATATGAAGAACAGTTCTACAATTTAATTTAATGTAATTGCTGCTAGGGATAAAAACTGTACTCAAGAATAAAAACATTTTAATTATATAGCATGTTCAAGTAATTTCTGAAGGATGGCAGTTTGATTTTCACTGGGTTGCTCCCACTAGCATCTAGAATTCAAAAATTGACGGTAATAATCCCTGTCCATCTAATTTCTTTTTAAAAAAATACTGACAATTTTCAGTAAAAGTTCTTTTCCTAGCAATTTTCAAAGGAATTATTTGCTTGTAAACATATTTGAGTTTCCAAACTATAAGATTTCAGTTGACTGCATTTTCATATTTCATTTTATGGGCATGGGATGGGGGGAATGATGACATGACACAATGCCATGACTTAAACAACCATATCAGGCTTTGTAATGCAACTACATTATATTTTACAATAGCACTGTCTGTCATGAAGACATTATTGTAGTTTGTTATAAACACCATATACTCCAACCTAGTACCCTTTGTAAGTTTTTTGAGTTTTCAGCAAATCTTAAAACTGCTTGCCTAAGCATACTAGAGAAGTTCTTAAAGGAGCAATAAATACCAGCAGGAAGCTTACAGCCTAGGAAAAAGCTGGTTTATCAACTCAAACTACTGTATAAAGTGCATGCTCCTTGTTTCTAAAGTCTTGTTGTCCTTATTTGTTACCAATTAATTGTACTAAAATTGAAGTCACAATTAGCAAAACTGTAAATCTAGATTTAAAACCTAGAATCTTTTAAACTTGTAACATCCAATTATTCTATGTTAAATCTGAGTCCTTTTATTTCCCCTTACCACATCTTTTTTTCAACATATCATCATCATGTTATTTCTTGAGAACCAGTTTTACCCTACAGGTAGTCAGTCCTTGACTAGACAGTTCATTTAGTGATCGTTCGAAGTTACAACGGCAGTGAAAAAAGTGACTTATGACTCTTTTCACACTTACAACATTGCCGTATCCCCATGGTCATATGATGAAACTTCAGATGCTTGACAACACATTCATATTTATGATAGTTGCAGTATCCCAGGATCATGTGCTCCCCTTTTGCAATCTTCTGACAAGCAAAGTCAACGGGAAAGCCAAATTCATTTAATTGTGTAACTAAATAATTGCAGTGATTCACTTAACAACTGTGGCAATAAAGGTCATAAGATGGGACAAAATTCACTTAACAAATGTTTCGCTTAGCAACAGACCTGTGGTTGTAAGTCAAGGACTACCTATACTTTCATCTCTTACCTTCCCTTGCACATATTCTTAAACTTAGTATTACTTCTTTAGAAACATTTAGTTTCTAAATATATTCTAAAAATATATTTCATATTTCTAAACCACCCATCTCCCTCAAAGATGAATGAAACCACTATTTAAACGTCTCCTTGTCTATTCTCACATCATTCTCCCTCAGGATACTATTACTAAACCTTCTTCCACTCATCCAGCTTTTTGATTCTCTACCTTTCTGTATCTATGACCTTTGCCAGTCCTTTCAATAAATCCAATTCTATTGCCTAGGGTCCATGAGAGATTTAATTACACACTAAAATGATTTTTTTTTAAAACCTGGGCTGTTAAGTATTCTGACAATTCTGCTTTTCCAAGAATTTTAAATCTTACACACACTGCCTACCATTATTGTTCTTCAGTCAATCTGTGTCTGATGCTTCATCACACAAGGATACTTTGCATTGCAGAAAAACGTGATGCACCAAATAAATGCCAAAACTGTCCGAACAGATATCAAACTGGAAGTTAGATGCAATGCTAAATAGGTCACTAGGAAGCCTATCAGTATGTGTGTTTAATATGTCAGAATTTTAAATTAAGAGTAGTGAGGCAGGGATCCTTTTAGCTAATTGGAATGCATGAAGTAATTTTCACTAACATGGCAACACGAGGCACAAATGGTTAAACATCCCTTTTGGTCCTTGCTAATAATTAAAACTAATAGCTTTGATTCATGTGTGTGTGTGTGTGTGTATGTATAGGTATGTATGTATCGCCAGTTTCACATATTACTATAGCCTTATGATCAAAAAAGAATTAGAATGGGTTTAAATATATCTAAAGAAACTATGAAAGAGAAAAGTATGAAGAAAAACCATCCTTAAATTCCAAACTAAATTGATACAAAGATCCCTCACCACCCTCCAGACCTTCCGCATAGCCCTTAAACCCTGGCTGTCCCGACAAGCCTGGGGCTAAGATTTCAACCCCACCCGAATAGTATGACTGTTGCGTTTTTTTAACGATGTACTGTTT